CCCCCCCCCCCCCCCCGCCACACCGACCGTCATTGGGCTCGCGTGGACTCTTCAGCTGTGGCGGTTACGGGTCCGCTCGATGGGCTACTGGTCAAGCAAGGTTTGCATGACTATTCCTACCGAGGTCACTCTGCCTGTCTCCACTTGTGGGTAGACTGCCGTGAACTCTAGAGACGAAGCATGGGCCAGCCGTGCTCATTGGCTACCCTTGCCAGCACGGAAACCGGTGGGAAATGACATGAACGTCTTGGGGTGAGATCGCAGGAACCCTCTGAAGAGTTTACCGCTACCACGAACCTCATCAAGCTGTGTTCAAGAACATCTACTTCGTAGCAAGGCCGAGGAACAGGTCGCCGCATAACAAACGCTGAGATAACACCTTTGCCTCAGTCACAACAGCTGCTGAGGAGCAGCAGAAGACAGCTCTCACGATGAGCTATAACAGCTGGTCGGGCTCATGTCCAGAGCGTTGGACAGTTACGAGGCGCAGGGGGAGTCCAGTGGAATGCCTCATCTTTGTGCGTGTATGTTGTTTTCATCCTATGCATTTGTCTTGGTGACAGTCCTCCAATTTTTCGTGGTAAACGAGTAATTCGCCGGTAAGATGTCTGTTTTGGCTCGGGGTTGCGAAACAAGACCCGTTGCTGACAAAAAGCAAGATAACGGGTAAACCGCGAATCCGCTTGAATTTCAATTCTTGCAACCACCACTGGCGAAGCGAATACTGTACGGTCGCCGCGTCATCTCCACCGTCGCATGTCTTTCATGATGAAGACGTGAGGGTAGGCGTTCTCCTCCAGACCCTGACCACACACCCGTTGGTCGGAATCTCACGTTGATGGAGGTGCCTCTCCTTTGCAGGGAATCACAAAAACGACCAAATTTGCAACTAACACCAAGGGCTACGCAGAGCTCCACGGCTTGGAAATCATGTTTAATGGCATCGATCTAGGTTGGGGCCGACAACAGAGAGCCTCTAGTAGCCTAGTGAAACATCGCCCAAGATGTTCGACAGGCAGCTGGCCGACGTGGGTGTGTTCTGTCTCAAGCTCTTGCAAAGTCACGAATCGACGAAGCCATTAAGTTCCGCCGCTGCTCTTCTCCGGGAAGGCATTGAGAGGGGGTCACCACGACATTTTCGACCTACTGGCAGTTGAGAAATTTGAATGAAGACATTGTGCTACTGCTATATCGGCAAAACTGATATTCCCGTGCAGAAATCGAGACGGACCATCTCCACGAGGTCATCAGCTTTGCCGAAATCAAAGTAGCACATGGCGCCGTCATGTAACGTCTCCTCTGCCCGTTTGTCTGTAGTCGTGATGCTCCCCCCCCAACAACCTCTGGGAGATGGACTACAGCAGGACCTAGCTTCGTCGATGCTCGATAGCAAGATCTTGATAGAACACGCCCAGGCCGTCAGTTGCCTGTCGTGCGTCTTGGGTGATACTCCCTTGGCAATAAGGGACTCCCAGTTAACGTCATCAACCCAACTTCCATGTCAGGATTCATGCAACTAATATAGATGGTTGCAAAGCCGTGAAGCTTTGCGTAGACGTTGACGTTTGTTACAAATTGGCCGAAGTTGTCGTTTCCCTTGTATCGAGAGGCATCCCCGTCGTAGCATCGAAGTTAATATATCGCCCTAGCAGACAGTCGAGTGTGTGGTCAGCTTCGGTGGGAGCATGCTAACCCATGCCGTTCTCGCCTTCATCAGCGACGGTGTCCGACGTTGTCGATGGCGCGGCGACTCTCACTCGCTGCACCAGTGGTAGCTGGCGCCTGCTGCGCCGGACTCTCCCGTGCTGTAGGAACTACTTTTTGGGGTGAGATCGCGCGTTCACAACTAAGTGGGTCGATACACGGCGCAGATAGATGCGTTCTGTCCGAAGACTCTTGTATTCTTCCATGATTACTTGAGCCTCTACCCCTTCACGGAATATTTCGTAATCGCGGGCCCGTATTGTACAAGGCACAAAAGCTGCTGCTAGTTTTCTTCTCTCGCCTTATCGACAAGCACGCCGTCCGCTGTCCGCTCGTGCTGCTGTCCCACAGGCTTGATGAACCCCACGTTCTTGAAGCGCTTCTTGAGCCCGGAGATCAAGCCCAGGCTGACAGTGGTCTTGCCCACGTGCTGCCTGATTTGTTGTTGTTGTTGTTGGCGGTGTTAATGGCTTGTGTGCTAAATTTTAGCGACTTTAACCCGATTGCCTAATGATGTGAGAGTGGAGCCCCCCGGGGCTCGAAGCATTACTCCGAACGACACTTGTGCAGTGCAGCAGTCACTTCGAATTACTCACCAAATTTTCAGCATGCCGCACAACAAGGGCAAAAACAGGTTTCGCGTGATTGTGCTCATGCACGGGTGATACAAGGGGTTACGCAGCAAAAGCAAACCCTCGAAGCAACGGTGTACAGCCAGGATACATGTATTGTTACCCCGCGGTATTGTACACAGCAGAGACAGCCGGCGACCGGAGCATGCAAAAAATCCAAGGAGCAGGACAAGATCAGCAGCAGTTACATGTACATTTTTTCGATAGAGCGTTTTGTTATCCTCCCCATGGAGACTGCGGCTGCAAAGACACACACCGGGGGCTGATCCTGACAGCTGAACGCGTGCATACAAGCCATGCTTGCATTCGAAAAGGACACGGTCATGGACGCCGCTACAGCAGGGTAGACTGCGGTGTACAGGAGAAGACATGACTTACTTGCACTAGTCTACATGTTGCCGAGTTCAACCAACAGCACCTTCAACTGGCTCTCTCAAACTCCAAACTCTGGTTCGAGCAGACATGGCGGTCCGCCACCCTCACCTAGTCGCTGCAACGAACAACACCTTTTTCCCGGCATTATTCATCTATGTCAACGGAGCAACCGCAGCGCAGCAGTGCCTGTTGCAGTTGGTGTGCACGAGAAGGAGTACCCAGCACCCCTGACCCGTCAGACAGGACTATAACTATATGTACATGAGAAAATATAACAACGAATAGGGAGGAGTAAGAAAATGCATCCGCGGCGCCCCTTCTCGCTACCAAGAGTTGTGGTGCCATACACAGCAGTAGTCTGGCCGTTGCTGTTGTACTTGCTGTACTTGCTGCAGCGGAGAGCCGAGCGTATAGCCCGACCTCTCTGGAAACTACTGCTGTGCTGACGTCCAGAGGAGGCGACGAAAACCACCACGTTGACGACGAGCGCTGCTCAGGCTGCTGGCCCATCTCCATGGGATCTTTGAGCGATCAGACGGAGGCTGCTCTCGCCAGAGTCCTGAGCTTGTGCAGCAGCGGTCCCGTCGGGGAGCAGGACGTAGATGCTCTCCAACGCCACGATGAGGAAGCATTGGCGTTGCTTGATATCAACGACGACGATGCCATCAAGGTGGGGGGTTGGGATGTTGGGATTGAAGAAATATGGAGCAAACAAACGCAACGTGCACCGACAGCAGCATGTCCCCCGAAGATTTGTGAGGCGTGGTAAATCGCCCGCAGGCACAAGGCAATGACATGCAACCTTCCAAAGCTGAAAGCACCTCACAGAATAGAGCTTGATGGGCGGTCGTGTTGGGTCTCAGGTTCTGTGCCGCTCTTTGCCGGAACACATTGGAAGTCCGTACAGCGCTTCAAAGCTTGAAAACTCGACAAGTTTGCATAATTGCCGTTGGTCCTTTTTCTTCAAACCCCGGTTCTCGTTGCGGCGCCCGCAAATTTCCCTTCAAAGCCTGCAATGAGGTCCGTAGTCACCAACGTGACCAGCACTTGCCACAACGCCCACAACCGTCGACAGCACTTTGCCTAATTCCAATATACTCTCATACACACAGCACCACTTTGATATTACAGAACATAACAAAAGAGGAAGCGGCCCGTGTCCATCTTCTTGAACCTTGTGTTGTAGCACGGTTGTTCCAACCCTCGCAGTAGCAGTGTTGAGATTGTAGTTTGATGCAACTCCGGTACATAGTCTACTGTATGCATCGTACGAGTGTCAGAGTCTGAGCTGCTCAAGTATGTGCACACTATCATGGTTCTGAGCTTGCAAGGCAGCAGGGATTGTGCTACACCGAGAGGATATCTTTGACGGGGGTGCCAGGCACAACTAGCGTTGCTTTTGCTGCTCGGCAACGGCAACAGCTGCGGTTTGATAGTACTCGGAGCTATTTTTTGTATCCATGACGGCGGTCTCAGTTGTAGCTACGTTCGGGTTTCCATATGCGTGGAGGGGCGACGATTCAGAATCACGCAGAAGAGCGTTCTCCTGAGATCCATGCTGCGCATCCCTCTACGGCAACAGTAATCGTCGATCTCCTTGCCCTCGAAGAAACCACCACCCTTTTTCGGTTGCACCACAAGGACGCGCTCTCAGAACCACAGTCACCAACCCAGGTATTTATTGTTGATTCCACGGTTTTGACCATCCGAAGGGTTCGGAGATGGACGCCTTTACGGTTCTGTGGCGACCCAGGCGGCAGTACCTACTTCTGTTGTGTGCGAACAAGCTGTGAATCGTGGCTTCCAGAGCTAACGGTAGCTGAGCAACCAAGGGTCTACGTAAGAACCGGGACGCACCCCATCAACTTCCCATCTACAGGCAAACGCGATTCTCCGTGTGGTGCACTCTCTCAACAAGCCCACCGCTGCCGCCGACTTTTTTGTCGCAGGTGCTTGGGCCGTGGATCAAGTGCCTGGAGGCATGGTCCCGGAAGCCTAAGCCCTCCCAAGGGGGAGAAGAAGGACCCTGGACTACCGTTACCCAACCGTACACGGCCGTCCTCTCGAGAGTCGACCCCTCGTCGGAGATGCCGCCGCCGCCCCCTGGAACTCCCCCCCTCGCCGCTCACAAGGCTCTAACCGTCATCCTTTTTCGGGTGATGCTCCTAGGGAAGGAGACGGAGGGGTCCCCCCACCGCAACCCCTCCCCGGCGGCGTGGGCGGCCGCTCGCGCTTACCTCCTCATGCTCTCGCTCCCCGGCGCAGCGCCGTACGGCGTGCTGCAGTCCGCGGTGCTGGGCATGGTGCTCACCAACCTCCGCTCCTGGTGCCGCAACTCCGGCGTTTACCGTCCCGGAGGGGGGGGGGCTCCGGGAGTGGAAGGGGGCGGGGGGGGGAGGAAGAAGGGCCCCCAGAAGCGCAGGCGGGGGAAAGACGCCGAGGGAGGCGAGGATGCCGACAGCAGTGACGGAGGGGAAGAGACGGGGCCCCGCGGAGTGGGGCGGCGCGCGACCGGGGGTGGTGGGAGAGGGTCTGGCGGAGAGGTGCTTGCGTGTCTGGAGCTGCTCAAGTCATGCCTCGCCTGCGTGTCGCTTGAGTCCCACCAGGTTGGTGCCGTGTTTGGCGTCGGTTGGGCGCCTTACAGCCTTTTTGTTGAAGGTGGTCGACGCTTTGAAATCATCGCTCTTTGGATCTACACAAAATTAGACCTTTGGCGATAGTGCACTGAAGGTAGACCGGCCGGGGGAATGGAAGCGGTGTACACCCCTTATGGCTGTTGCGCGCTGTTCCGTTGGCGACTAATGTATTTTACGGCCTTGGGGCTGTTGGTTCAAGAGGACGTTTGTTCAATACATTAATGTTTCAATAAATAGGTTTAGACGTGATTGCGCTCCTGAAACACTACTGTACCCGTCCTGTTTCGTCGATCGATCGCTCCTGTAGTCGATGGTGTCTTGGACGAACGCTCAAGATTGTTCATGGAACAGCTTCTGGCCGGAGATGTGTTACGGACATTCTATTTCGGCACCAGACCAAGTTTGTCGGGGTCGTCTGCTTTTCGTCTGACAATGTCGCTTGCATTACACCTACACCGTCCTGACAAATCATGTTCGAGAGACGGGGAAGATTCTGCCTCTCCCTGGATAGTTCGCGCCAGTTTTTTTGAGAAACGGTGAAGTCCTTTGGGTACCGCGTGGCTCTGCTTGAAGTATGGAGAGGTTCTCTCCTCGTCAACACTCAAATGTCAACCTCGTTGGTGGCAATGCTGTCCCCGGAGCCGGCGGGGTAGCACACCCTGGTAACCTCCTCGAGCTTGCATGCCACAAAGCTCCAGAGGAGCAACGTTAAGCCTAGGCTCTGAAAATGCAAGGGTGAAAGGTTCCTACACCGATCGAAGGACCGCGATTGCTCCCAACGGTCACCATGGACCGCCGGAAAGATGAATTATCCCCGCGGAAAATATCTACACAGAGGTGAAAATCATGGCAAGAACTCTCCCTTGAACGACAAGCATGTGAGCATCCTCCCCTTACGAGCAAGCATGTAATTACCCTCCTCTCCCCGCCTGCCATCGTGCTCACTTGTTTTCGTTATTGTAGGACTTGGTGGTTAAGCTTAGCGAGGTTCTGGTCGGTGTGTCGGTCGTCGCCGCCATCGAGGGGCCTGCCTCCCTGGCCGACCTTGCCTCAGCAAGCATGGTCGGCCTCGTGACTGGGGCTTCGGGCCACACGGAGGTCGTCCAAGGGGTCGTGCTGCAGGCGCTGATGCCGGTGATCCTCATGAATACGGGAAAAGCAGACGTTCCCCCGAGGTAGGCGAAGCTCAATCGGTTTTGCTCTTAACCCGAACCCTTCGTACTTCGGTTTGGCTTGCTTCCTCTAGAGAACATTGCACTGATAAATCCGTTGGTGGTTGGGCGCTCTACGTAGGTAGTTGGGCGTACAGATTTCGGAGGTAATCATGTTGTCGGTCTTGATTTAGTTGGGTGCTTTGATACTGGGCAACACAAGATTCGATGACGGAATGTCCCACCGATGGATGGCCACGTCTAACCTCATGCCCTGCCTCCTGCTACTTGGCGACCCTCGCAGGAGCCGTGATTGCGTCAAGGCTCATAACAGCGCCGTCGACACCGCCAAGGCAATCGCCGCTGCTCTCAGAAACGCCGCCACGAAAAACGGCTACGAAACCCGGGGGGCGACGCCAAGCACCCCCGGGCAATCCACCGACGTGCCTTCCGAAGGCGACCTAGCATCGCAATCGCCCTCTGCCACGACTCCGGCGGGAGGGGGGTATGATACCTCTTCGTCCCCTACCGGGGATGATTCGAGTACATCCCCTGGTGGGGCGCCTGTTGTGGTTGTCGGGAAGAAAGGAGACGGTGATGGGCAAACCGGCACTGGCGGAGGTGGTGGTAAACCCGTCTTGACCCTCTTGCAGCATCTGTGCGTGTCTTCGCCCGAGCGCGCGGAGGGCAGGGCGAGGCTTGCGGAAGGGTTGGCGGGGTTGCTGCCGGAGCTGGAGGAGCACGACCGTGCTCGCTTCGTGGTTTTCCTGGCCAAGGGTTGTTGTTGTTGTTGTTGTTGTTGTTGTTGTTGTTGTTGTTGTTGTTGTTGTTGTTGTTGTTGTTGTTGTTGTTGTTGTTGTTGTTGTTGTCGTCGTAGTTGTTGTTGTTGATATTTTTTTGTCGATGATTTCGAATATGAATCAACTGTTGTAGGTGAATGCAGTTGAATGCGCTTAGGTTGTTTCCCGCAGCTCGAGAACTAGCTACTGCCCGCAGACGGTGCTCTCGAGTTAGCATTGGTAAAGCTGGCTGCTCATGACCACCACACTAACCTAATCGAGTCTCATCGTCGACGACTACTTGCTACAACCGGAATCCTTCCCCGACTGGTGCACGAAACCAGCTTTCGCGCAGCGCCAAGATCGTGCACCGCGGGTTCTCCGTAGAACTATCGTCTCGCCTTCTCACGGAGGACTGGCCTTGGGCCACCGACGACAACAGCAGCGCTGACGGCAGCCGTGAAGGACCGGCCGTTTCGACGCTGCGCGCTAACGGGGGTGGCGACGGCCCGTCCCCGTGTTTGACGGATGGAGGCGGTAGGACGATGCTCGATCTGGTGGTTGCAAGGGCGGCAGACACGGCTCCGACGGTTAGGTGAGGACGAGGAAACTGAAAAGCTGTTCAGAAATATTGAGATATTTTTCTGGCGATGGAATTCTCGACTTTCTTCTGTTTGTCGAGTGCGAGTACGGCCTTTTTGTGCGTTTTTTAATGTACTGTGGCTTCTTACGATGTATCCCCTTTTATGATTTTGATTTTTTATCGAGTACGAGTGCGGCCCTTGTTGTGAAGTACATCGGGATCAACTCTTGCTTTTTTCTGATGATTTTGGCGTGCGTGTGATGATTTTGGAATGCTGTGGACGTTCCACGAAGAAAAGCTGCATCGTCACGGAATCCCTCCAGCACCCTCGGTCGCTTCACGTTGTACTTCACACTTGCACATGCCTCCTTCTTTCAGCTTTTTTTTTCCAATATCTTTGGCTGTGTGTGGTCAACAGGTCGAAAGCAGCGTCGACTCTCTCAGAAGTCCTCTCGGGAATCCAGGGGCGCCGCAGCGGGTACAAGGGGGCGGCGTTCCGACAGGCGGTGATGGAGGCGTGCGGGTGGGGGGAAGCGGGGATGGAACGGGGTCACGACGGGCCTCTGCTCGAGACCATCCGTACCAGAGTCGAGGTGTACATGAATTTGCACTTTTATATCGTTTTGTTTAAAGCTGACAGCAGTGTTGATGCTGCGTTCGATTTATTTTGCATTCATTTTGGGTACCACGATACTGCTGTCCTAGTTTATGTTGTTACAACATTTTTTCGTATTTTTTTAGCAGAAAACTCGCACATAAAAGAACCCATAGATTCGCTCGATAGCTGTGACCCTCTGCACGCTATCCCTCAATTATTCCCTTGCGGCGAAATACGCCGACCCTGTTCGTGTCCGTCATCAACCCTTCGACAACGTAGACGAGTTAGTTGTGAATAAAGGAGGACGTCGTCCTCGGTAGATGTTCGACAGATGGGGACGTTGTAAGACGGTGAGCTCCACATTTTCTCGTCGTCGACCCCACTACTCTGTGAAAAGAAGAAATCAATCGTTATCTGCGGACATTGGGGAGATGAGGACCTTTTTTAAAATGTTACCTCCACACACGTGTTCAGCAAACTCTTTTCGAAAAATTGTTCGATCGTCCAACAACAGGACGAGAAGGCCAACGTTCGGAGGAACGCAGTGCCGGCGCTGGAGGCTATCCTTAAGCTCTCTCCTGCCTTTTCGAGCGGTCGGGCATCCGCGGACGTCGGCGAGGCTGCGATCGGGAAGGAGCACGAGGCGGACTTCGAGCTCCTGCAGGAGAGGTGCAACGACATATCGCTGTCCACCCGCAAGGTAATAGGGGGCCTGGTTTACGCCAGCAGCTGCTTTGAACGACCAGACAACGCACATCTGGAGGCACGGCGCCGTGATTGCGTAGGATACCACACCCTCTGGACCTTTTTTCAAATCTAGGTTGCTCCACGACGAAGAGTGCGCCAGGATCGAATGATACTTGTGCGGAACGCTTGCTCTCTCGACGAAACGGCTCCAGCGCCTCCACGCTTGGCACCGTTGTCTTTTTATTGTGGCCAGAGTATTCGAGCTTTGAGAATCGGTCCAGGGCTGTGGTATCTTGCGTATATAAGCTGCGAACATGCACTGCTGTAAGACGCAGCGGTGGCCGCCAAGCGTACAATCCCACGCTTACCGAATGCATTCAGTGTCAAGCTGTTGGTTGCGTGGTCCGTTCGTGGCATCGACGTTACCTAAATAGGCGTGAACGCATGTCGCATACTTCCACGCACGCACGAAAGCGTACTAAGGCTGTGCGGGACCTTACCCTGACCACCCCTGCCTGTTACACTGCTTCAAAACGGACATCGCCCTAGTCTCACCAACAATCTGCACCGTATCCATTCATGTACATGGACAACCTGTCCTACTTGCAGGCGGCCATGGGGGCACTATCTTCGCTTCTCATGCTGAGGCCTTCCGACGAGACGCTACAGAAGGCCTGGGTGTCGTCCGTTCTTCCACTCGCCGGAGACCCCGAGCAAACCTGTCAGGTACAGCAGTAGTACGTTATACTGTAGTATTACGCAAGATAACACACTCATGCAAGATAGCACCCCCTCTGCACTCAGCGGTGATAATTTTTTCGAGTGAATAGGAGCCCAACACGTGAACCTGCTCTATGATCAAGTAATAGGGCGACTGATGTACCGCAATACCGCACCCTCTGACGGAACGATGTACCGGGTGTTTGTTTCATGGAAACCAGAAGATTTTGCAGAAGGGCGGGGTACCGATAATAGTTGCGTTGGGCTCTTGGCTACCGACCGATACACGCACGAGGTTTTCGAGTATCTACGATTGGAATATCCATCGATAAAGCAGATTTACACATGGCAACTGGTCCATAACATGCTGCTTCTATGAGTATTCCACTCATTCTTTACCCCGGCCTCAACGAGCACGTTTTACTTCGAACGGTTCCCCGGATCCGCCTGGGTCCCCCCGCTAGCTCTGCATGCTCACTTGCCGATCACGTGGGAAGCCCCACTGACTACTCTTTCCTGTTCGATATCTAAACAAGCAGCAGTTGGACCGCGTTTCTTGTCCGACCGTTCCGTCAGACTGGTTTCCTATCGGCAACCCCCGTCCAGCTCTTGTCCAAGTTGTTTTTCCTTTCTTCATTACCTCGCTGTACGTAATACCTTGTCCTCCCCCTAGCGCGATCGCCTCTCTTCTGAACAAACTCATTGGTCACCCATGTTTTTTGTTTCTTCTTTTCGTCAGAATCGATTGGTCGAGATCGTCCGGACGGTATTGATCGACCGTGTGGTGGAATGGCACAAAACAGAAGCCGACACGGGAAATAATAAGGGCAAGGGGGGCAGCAGCAGGCCTACCAGGGGCGTGAGCACCAGTGTTAACGGTGATGGTGGGGCGGGAGAAGTACGGGCTGGGGCGGCGGCGGGAGAGACTAGCGCCGGAGGGGTTTCCAGTGTGTGGCCGCTGCTGGCCAAGGCCGGGCAGGGGGGAGCCCACAAGTGTCTCAAGAAGGTGAGGGGTGGGGGGTACGTGCATGCATACGTTGTGGTGAGCGGAATGCTCTTGCTTTTCTTTCATGACGTTTGCACGTGTTTTACTCTGCTGCATGTGGGCCTCAATTTATTTCCTATCTCACACTATTGACGCCCTCTGTCTGCCTTATTGCGCAATATGCGTGTCTTATGGCCTACTTGAGCACCTCTCTCTGTTTTACTACGCAAAATGCGTACCTTTGGCCTACCTGTACCTTGAGCAGGAACACTTTTTGGAACCAAGAGTTTGGGCTTCTTGATAACGAACGCGTTTGCACTAAAAAGTAGCAGCGTTGTTGTCGAAAGTGGTGTACTTTAGCGTTGGGTTGATACGCATCAAGGCTGCATTTTGCGGAGATCACGTCCCAAAAGGGTACCATCTCGCCACCGGTTGTCGAGGATGCGACCCCCTATTTTCTTCCCATGCTTGTCGGCACGTTTCTAGGGATTCCTTTGCTTTGAATGAGTCAGCAATAACCCTACATCACCCTTCCAAGCTTTGCCTGAAAAACATACGTTGTACTTGCGACCACAGGAAGGAAGGTTACATACCTACCCATTTGTCCTGTCTTTTTTTCAGGCGATGTCGACGCTGATGCAGCAGAATGGCTCTACGGGATTCAAGGCTGCACCTGTCCTGAGGGCTCTTCGTGCAGCTGCCGTCATGGCCCTCCCGCCCAAAACATCGCAAGATCCAGCAGCAGCAGCAGCAGCAGCAGCAGCAGCAGCAGCAGCAGCAGACGTCGCGACCGGGGGCGATGTTTGTGGAGAGTCGCACGACCAGGAGGGCGCGAAGGAGGTACAGGAGGAGGTATGTACGATTAGGAGGCGAGACGATGGACCGATCACAATCGACCATCGGTCATATGTGATCCGTTTGCGTTGTACGGTGTGTGTTCATTGTTTTGTCATATCCTTCCTCTGTTTTTTCAAGTGTGCCTTTACACCTAACAATTGTCTGGGCTTGGCCTGTAATGTCGTTCGCCCTGCAATTGGTTGAAGTTTGACGCTTTCGTGATTGAAACAAGGATTCGATGTCCGTCTGGACCGAAACAAACCCATCTTTGGTCATAGGTAATAATGTAGAAATATCACTTTTTTTACGGTGCAGTTGTAATGGTCCCTTTATCAGGCTGATAAATTTTCTTCCCGCAGATGGAAGATTCATGTCGTCTGATCCTTTAAATAGTGTCGGGCGCTCGGTATAAGCCCCGCCAAATCCCTTGGCACTTTGTGGCCTTATGAATGGAACAACTGACGTACTGTAGGCCACTTCTACTCCCTTGAGGCCGCAGCACACGGCAAAAGTTTTACAGTTAGCTGCTGTTCTGTTCTTTGCCCCGACCCTCATCTCTTTGCGCGTTCCCAGGAGAGCTGGACGGTGGAAGACATGCGGCTCATTTCTCTCGCGGAGAAACTGCCTCGAACCTCCCTCACCACAATCCGGAGGGGAACGTGGGTGCTGTTGGAGGCGTTCCTTGACCGGGCCCCTTCCGCAGGAGACAGGTAACTACTTGCTCTATTGTTCAACATCGATTTCTTTGTTGTGGTGCCGTTGCCGCAGACAACAAAAAAATCGCGTTTTTTTTTTAACGAAAGAATTCGGAACATAGACCAACCGCACGAGTGGCATGCAACTGTGTTTTTTTTTCTTTGTTTGCCATAATTCTCATGCGTTTGCATGTAATCTACCGGTAATAGATGGAACATTACACCGAGAGAAGTGGACAATCCCAAGACGGCAGTGGGGCAACGCCCAAACCTAGCTAGGTGTTACTCTATGTAGCGAGCCCGAAAGGAAAGCAGGAGCCTCGCTTGTTTGTGCCGGTTTCACGCAGTTCGGGGAAGGAGCAGCAGCAGCAGCAGTCCGACATGGACCCTATGTTCGTGGTGCGGTGCTGGAATCGCATCAGGGTTCATATCCTGGAGGAGGCTTTGTCAGGTGAATTGCAATGATACCTTCCTTTGCCGTTTCGTTATCCCCTTTGGTTCTTTCCTGCAGCCTGCAGTGTCCTCTTAGGTCGTTCTTGTGCTAGTTCATGATGAGTTAACTGGCCCTCAGCAGGAAAGTCATGACGTCAGTAGTGATATATATTTTCATTCTGTGCCTTCTTCATCCAGTAGCCTTCCCAGGGTTTTTCCATGAAGGAAGCGTGTCGGATGAAGCATGCAAAGGGGGAAGTTGGGTTAGGATTAGGGTTACGGACAAAGCCTTCGTATCCCCTCCCTGTTCTACATCCTCACTAATGTAGTTTCTCGCGAAGGCAGTCCTCTCCACCCCTGTGTTGCGCCGTACGTTATCGACACTTCACGCGTGGCGCCAAATGCTCGCACCGCCAGGACCCGAGGACGCAAACGTTTCATCCCCTGGTTCCGGGGAGGCGTTCGAGGCGGACGGGCGGCGAGTTCTCGGCGTCCTCGCCCGTCTTGCAGGGTCCGTGCCACCGGACGTGGCCATGCCGCTGGCCGAAAGCCTGCTGGAGATGCTGCAGGACCTAGTGGCCACCCCGGAGACCTCGGCCGCTTTGGTGGCGGCCCTGCACATGCTCTGCTTCGCTCAGGTTAGTCAGTTTCAGCGATCTACTTTTTTCGGATGTCTCCGCGTCCATCGATACAGCAAACATGAAGGCTTCGCCAGGACAACATTAGAGACTATGCCATGCAAAGTATGTTCATGGGGGGGGCGGGGGGTTCCTTCGTGCCTGAGAAGTCGACAGACCGCCTGTACTGCCCGATGACGGTTCACAAGCCTTGCGGCGTATATACCTGACCGGCGTATCAGGCGGGGTCACACAAGAGGAAAATCACACAGGAGTTTTTTTTTTGTTATTATTGCCCCGCATTTCACTCTTCGGTGCTTCCCTTCGTTTTCCTCGCGCGGAGGGTTCAGCCACCCCTTTCCCTCGTCGACCAGATTGACCACCGGACGACCACTGCTGTACCATGAGAGTGCAAACCAGAAAGCCCATGCAGCCGTGCTCGCTCGTCTGCCACGCATATACGTGTCGCTACGTGTCCTCTTGTCTGATTCAGGCAACGACGGAAGAAGCTGGGGCGGCCATGTGCAACGAATGGGCCAACTCTGCGCTCACCAACTTCGAGCAGCTGCTGGACGTGTTCGTGTACCAGGGGAGCGAGGCTCTACGAGACCACAGCGGCGCCCGGTGAGGATTTTTCTTCGGAAATTTCTTCGGGAATCCCTTCCGGGTTGGCGGGAGAATCATTCGCTATCGCCATGGCCGCCTTGCTGCTATTTTCGGTACATATTTCTTTTTGCCTGCGAGTGGAATGCAAGCAGCGCTAGACGTGGGTGTGACCATGTGTTGTCAATGTTTGGGTAGCGTATGTTGAGCGAGTGATAGCACCGCCACGTCCGTCACCATGTATATCGTCGGCGTTAACTGCAACCGGAACAGGGCTTGCGGATTCGACATGGCCATCCTGGTGGAGCGGCTTATCTTTGCCGTCGGCGAGGTAGCCCTGGTTGGCTTCACGAGCAAGGTGATCGTTGGTCTTATGTACATACCGTTAGAAGCATTCGTGCTCTCATGGCATGGGCATGGTGCTATCGTTAAGCATTGATGCACTCACGATATGGGCACGTTGCTGGTCAGTTTCATGGGCAAGACGATACCAGTGGCAAATCAACACATCATGCCATGAGTGCACTCACAACACGTTTCTCGTTGACTCCACGGGGAAGCTGATCATCGGTCTTGCCGGGAAAGTCAACAAATATCATGCCATTGTTGCGCTCACGATGTGTTTCCTGTTGTCTGCGCGGAAGGAGGAAGGCGATTGACTCCTGTGTCACTCTTAGAGTACATCTTGCCGGAATCAAAACAGGTGGCTCCTCTCTCTCATGTATGCGTATGTCTGTCTGGCTTCTGTCCTCACCATCAGGAGGACGCAGCAGGACCCTCCGATCCACAGGCTCCGGGCGCCGGCAAGAAGTCGGCGGAGATCACTGCACGCCCCACAGCGTCTCCGCGCCTCGTTGAGCTTGTTCAGGTATCTATCTCTTGTACAGGCAGTGGTACCGCATCGGACCACCTCGAAAATGGTTGGACTCATGTTGACTTGATCGAGGTGCAGCTAAAATCGAGTTGGTATCGATGGATTCGGATTGTTTTTGTCCTTCTCGCCCGCTAGTGGGGTTGTCGATGTGTCGACGACGCTCCTCGGTTTTCACGATGCTTCGCGAATTTGTGCGGCAGAGCATGGGCTTGTTGTGGTTGGCATTTTATCGTTACATTTTTGGCTGCAAGAACAAAGCAGTACCAAGTTGTAAGGCTGTGATTCCGGATTTTTGGTTCGGTGCGCTAGTCCCGCGTACGTGCCGCCTTACTGTCTCTACAAACATTCCTGCCTGCCTTTCCGATACAGAGGATGCAGGTTGCTTTTGCACACTCTTCTCGTATCTTCTCATGTCTTCAACTGCTGTGTGCATACGTATTTGACGTTGTAGCGCATTGATGTGGCGTCGTGATAGATTGTCGCCTTCTGCGCTTTGAGCGACGGACGGGTGTCACCCTTTCATTTCCTCAATTGTACGATGGTGATGATTCGGGGGGCCTAATAACCGAAAACCCAGGTGCTCCTCCCGCCGCGCCTTCCGACGTCCGCGCACGGAGTGGAGGAAGGAGAGGAGGGGCCAGAGACACCCTCGCCGGTCAGGGCTTTGGCGTTCGTCACCCTTGGTTAGTGGTATACCGTATATAATCCACAGGATAACACCCGGACGGTGATAACATGTTGACTTCGAAGAGAGTTATCACCGTGTGGGGGTAGGTGGTGTTTAGTGTCGAGCGATATCTTGATCTGAGACTAGCTTTTTGTTTTGGGCTCATGTTGATTACCTGCAACAATGTTATCATGACTACTTGGTGTTGTCTGGCGGATGTTGTATGGTTGTGACCTTGTGCTGCGTACGCCTATGCTTTTCCCGCACAACTGCGTACCCTAGGGGGCTAAGTAATATACTTGCTATCTAAAAGCCTTTACCGTCGTGTAGTAGGGCGTCATGCTTGTTGAGATGATTTAAGCCAACAAGGTTCGGAAATGACCCAAGTATTAAAGTTTTTGGCCTTGCATTTCGCATGCATTTATATACGTTGAGCCTTTTCCGGGTGGACTTGAGCTTTCGTGAGCAATGATGTGCTCTATTTTTCTGTGCGTGGTATAATAGATCCATGTGCACCTGACTGGACCAGAAACCTGAGGCTGAGGCGGTAAGGGCTCGCGTACATGTCCATGCATTTGCGTACTTTAGACGAAGGGGCACAGCACCCACCAGCCATGGCAAATGCTGTCCTTGATCGCTTGATCGAACAACAGCATCAACACCACCGGCACGTGCCATGGCAAACAATACAAAGGAACAACAATATCGAAATAACAGCACCATCACGAGCATGCGGCACCTGCCGCTTACCGGCCAAAGCCCAAACCCTTACAATGCAACCCTACACTGTCGCTGCCGTCGTGAACCCGACCCCCAGGCAAGTTGTGCCTCAGGGACAAGGCCTTGGCGAAACGCAGCGTCAACCTCTTCGTGAGGGAGTTGGACACGGCAGCGGCTCCCGCCGTCCGGAGTAACGCCCTCGTCGTCCTTGGAGACCTCTGCGTCAGGTGGGACGACGACCGAACGACTCGCTCGCTACTGTTTGCTGCCGCACTTGTTTTTTTGTTCTGCCCTCGCGTAGCCTTCGGTCTCCGTCTGCCGGATTGTCTGCAACGTTTGTTTGCGCCTCTTTATCTGGGCTCGAGTAGTCTCTGTTTACAGCGGTGCTGTCTGCAGGGTGGTCAACACAGTGTTTGCGGCGCTTCTAACTGGCGCCGCAGTGTTTGCAATCTTTTTCCGTTGCAGATTGGTACGATATGTGTTTTGTATTGCCCTGATTTTGCAGGGCAGCTGGGTCCTTCCCTTTGCACCCGCTTTTTTTCTTGTTGATCGTTGTGTCTCCCTGTCGATGATCGATGTCTCTGAGTGTGGTGTAGTGCGGTTCGACTGATAGCCTTGGTTGTTTGTCAATTTTATTTCGTACATACGCGGCAGACATGATCTGTAGACAGCACGACAGCAACAACAGGTTCCTCGAGCGTGTAGTCCTTCTCTGTAAATTTTTGTGTGGATTCCATTGGCCGGGCGAGCCACGCTATTTACGAACCGTCATAAACGACCAAAAGCAGGCGAATGTTGCAGAAAACTGACTTGGCTTCAAAGAGAGACTAAGGGTAAGCCGTTCGAGGTAGTAACGTCCCGTTCTAGAGGAGATGTGTCCAAGTCTTTGTCGTGATGGCCTTTGTTCTCTTGACGACATCGCTGTGCTGCAAACGCTTTGTACGGCGATGTACACGCGACCACCAGGTACACAGCCATGGTAGACCGACACGTGGCAGCCATGGCCGCTTGTCTCCAGGACCCCCACCCCCTAGTCAGGAGACACGCGATCCTCCTCATCAGCCAGCTCCTGCTGCAGGTATTATCTCTTTGGTGTAGATGGGACGATCTCGATCGAGCCTTTCAGACAGGGAACAGCTGTCTCACGTTTTTCGCGATAATCAGCATGTTTTTTGCGATATAGATCTTCTTTTTTTAGGTGTCCATGCAGTGTCAGCGATATCATTAAGTCGACCCGTGGCTGTGAATGACATCGACCCGTTTAACTCACAGTTTCTGATACTATGTGGTGGTTTTGCTGTTTTCCGCTTTTACTGTTCGCATACTTGAGTGCCGTACACAGCCACTCACCTTCACTCGCTCTCGTTCTGAGGTTTCGAGGGCCTTTGATCTCGCAACCTCAAGCAGTCTTCTTTGCGCAAGAGCATCATATCACACTGCCGTGCCTTGGCTCGCAGCGTCGCCGTGCGTTTGTTTGGGAAACCATCCCAAATCTCTTTTGCGGCAGATGCACCGCGTGCGACATGCATGTGTCGCTCAGCCAGCCCAAGTCGACTGGAGGCAGGAAGTGCCGACCCGTTGTATGTTTCTTCTGCCGGACCGACATCGGCCCCGGTGTCCAGTACTTCCGAAAGGTGTGTCGTGTCCTGAACAGTAAAAACAGGACAAGACGTACCTTTTGGGAGTTATCATCGTTCATTTTTCCGGTGGGATCCGGGATCCGGAAGTACTGGACACCGGGGCCGATGTCGGTCCGGCCGAAGAAACACACAAAGGGTCGGCACTTCCTGCCTCCAGTCGACTTGGGCTGGCTGAGCGACACATGCATGTCGCACGCGTTACATCTGCCGCAAAAGGAGTTTGGGATGGTTTCTTCAAGGGGAATGGACAAAAGTGTGCATACCCACGCCATTCTCGGACAAAAGTGGGTACTCGAAAATCCAGCGCGCGCGCACTCTATGGGCGACCCCCAAACGACTCAAAACCCCATTCTGACACCTGGGCGACACAGCCAGGGACCATACACAGCACGGGCATCGATTTTTTCCCACTTTCAGGGACAAGTTTGTCCCTAATATCGCCGAGGCGCGCAAGGCCTCACCTGAGTGCCCACTTGTGTCCGACATCGTGGGGGGTATACCCAGCGGCGTCCATGTACTCACTGATGTCTGTATTTTGATCCACTTTTGTCGGAATTGTGACCATTTGTGTCCACTTACGGACGGCAGAAATCGAGCGGAAATCGACCTCCACGTCACCGCGAGGCAAAATATCGAATGGCCTCTGAACGTCTCAGAACCAACACCGTATCCATAGNCGCGTGCGACATGCATGTGTCGCTCAGCCAGCCCAAGTCGACTGGAGGCAGGAAGTGCCGACCCGTTGTATGTTTCTTCTGCCGGACCGACATCGGCCCCGGTGTCCAGTACTTCCGAAAGGTGTGTCGTGTCCTGAACAGTAAAAACAGGACAAGACGTACCTTTTGGGAGTTATCATCGTTCATTTTTCCGGTGGGATCCGGGATCCGGAAGTACTGGACACCGGGGCCGATGTCGGTCCGGCCGAAGAAACACACAAAGGGTCGGCACTTCCTGCCTCCAGTCGACTTGGGCTGGCTGAGCGACACATGCATGTCGCACGCGTTACATCTGCCGCAAAAGGAGTTTGGGATGGTTTCTTCAAGGGGAATGGACAAAAGTGTGCATACCCACGCCATTCTCGGACAAAAGTGGGTACTCGAAAATCCAGCGCGCGCGCACTCTATGGGCGACCCCCAAACGACTCAAAACCCCATTCTGACACCTGGGCGACACAGCCAGGGACCATACACAGCACGGGCATCGATTTTTTCCCACTTTCAGGGACAAGTTTGTCCCTAATATCGCCGAGGCGCGCAAGGCCTCACCTGAGTGCCCACTTGTGTCCGACATCGTGGGGGGTATACCCAGCGGCGTCCATGTACTCACTGATGTCTGTATTTTGATCCACTTTTGTCGGAATTGTGACCATTTGTGTCCACTTACGGACGGCAGAAATCGAGCGGAAATCGACCTCCACGTCACCGCGAGGCAAAATATCGAATGGCCTCTGAACGTCTCAGAACCAACACCGTATCCATAGCATCTTTCCTATCCATGGAAGCCGACTGCGGACCGATCGCAGGATATCGGGCCTGATTTTCACTTCTTATACATACATACATGTAGTGCATATGAATGCCCTCTTAACATCACGTAGTTGCGTTGCAAACTGCCTCGACATGCTGCTGCTGCCCTCCCCAGTCGGCGTGCACTCGTCGTGGTCGTTGGTATTTTTTTTGTGTGTGTGTTGCTGTATTCGCGTCTATTTGTTCTGTGTGCGCGACCCGTCTTTTTTGTTGTCCGTTGTGTGTCACGCATGTATTTGTGGCGTGCCGTTGGTGCGCTGCTTGTCGGGCTTGCCGCGGGTATCTTCACGTGCCTGGTATCTTCCCGTGCCGGTACCCAAGGGGTCTGGCATGTGTCTGGCATGTTCGTCCGCGGTCGGTCCGCAGTCGGCAGCCATGGATACGAAAGATGCCATGGATACGGTGTTGGTTCTGAGACGTTCCGAGGCCATTCGATGTTCTGCCGCGCGGAGGTCGATTTCCGCTCGATTTCCGCTCGATTTCCGCCGTCCGTAAGTGGACACAAGTGGGCACAATTCCGACAAAAGTGGGTCAAAATATAGGCACAAATGGGCACACGAAAAACTCGTAGACGCCGCTGGGTATACCCAGCACGGTGTCGGACAGAAGTGGGCACTCTGGTGAGGCCGCGCCTCGGCGGTAATAGGGATAAACGTGTGCCTGAAAGTGGGAAAAAAATCGATGCCCGTGCTGTGTATGGTCCCTGGCTGTGTCGCCCAGGTGTCATGATGGAGTTTTGTCGTTTGGGGGTCGCGTATAGAGTGCGCGCGCGCTGGATTTTCGAGTACCCACGTTTGTCCGGGAATGGCGTGTGTATCCCCACTTTTGTCTATTACCCTTTCTCAAACCATCGCATGGCGACGCTGCGAACTAAGGCAAGGCAGTGTGATATGGTGCTCTTGCGCAAAGCAAAGAAGACTGCTTATGGTTGTTGGACTCAAAGGCCTTCGAAACCTCAGAACGAGAGCGAGTGAAGGTGGGTGGCTGTGTACGGCAGTCATGAATATGCGAACAGTAAAAGCTGAAAATTGCAAAATCACCACTTCGTATCAGTGTCTGTGAGGAAAACGGGTCGATATCATCCATGGCTCACACACGACTAACACGTAAAATCGTGTGGGCCCATCTCACAAAAGTCCCAACGATTCTGCGACCCATCGCCCGGCGTCGACGCGACGATACAAACTCTACTTCTACGGCAGGACTACGTGAAGTGGAGGGGGCTTCTTCTGTACCGTTTCCTGGCGACACTGGTGGACTCCGATGCCTCCGTCAGGGATCTGGGAGCGTTTACGCTCACCCGTCCGCTCATCACCAAGGTGTGTCGTCGCTGCTGGATGCTACAGATAGCGCCCGCACATAATAACTTGGCAGTTTAGAAATTGAGACTCGAAAAAAATCAGGAGCTAAGAACTTGAGCACCATTTGTGAGCCCAGTTAAGAACCCCTACACTAAAACCTACGTAGTGGCGATTTGTAGCCCACAAGAGGATGATCGGCAATATAAGAAACCCAGCCTCGGCCGAAACTGGAGGTTCTTAAGTGCGGGCGCCATCTGTACTATATCTACTGGGATGTTCTTGTCCTCGCTGCTGTGGCGCTCTTGGTATTGTTGTTGGTGTCTTGATAGAAAACAACCATTGTCTTAGTAGAAAGCAGCCGTTACATGCATTCTTGGTGAAGAGTGCTCGCTGGTGTTATCGCGTATCATGCTGGACACCACAGCAACAGTTCTCGTTCTCTTGGCAGGTCAGACTACATGTAGTTGCATGATGGACTAGGGTGCTCTCTGCCCACCATTGCGTTGTCGCATCGTGTGACTCCCCTACACAGCTGAACACCTATTAAGAACCATGCCATGCGAATCCTGCTCGAGCGGTCAACCGCAACTTTTACACAGTCGAAATGGGGCTGGCCAACATCCTCTCTGATCAGAGCAGTGCAGAGCGGTGAGATGCTGTGGTGGATTGGGTGGAACCACGTGATAAAACAACACATATGTAACGCGGTCTTTTTCGCGCCTACAAGCACTCCATTCGAACATCGTCGTCGCTGAATCCTAGCTTGACTATTTCATCAACACCTTCCTTGCATGCCCTCTCCCGCACCCCTCCCATCGGGTGCCTGCTGCTTCAGACTCCTGGCCTCTTCGCTCAAAACTTCGTGGAAACGCTGTTCGTCCTCAACAACTACTCGGAGCACCCGTGCTACGCGGCGGCGGCGGCGGGCCGTGCAGACGCCGGGGGAGGGGTGACCATGGACGGAATCGATCTGGGAGGGGATGATCCGGCACAGGTGCGGAGCGACCTTGGTGTCTTAAACGAAAGGATTAATACGAGGTCGGAGTGAAGCGGGAACAGCATGCCGTATGTTTTTTTTTGGCTGTGCTATGCAGAGGCGCAAGGGCGGCCGTGAGCTATACTCCGTGGAATCTGACAGTGCCCTTGTCCCACGCCGCGGTAGACGTGACACACTGCACTCTTTATTTGCTCAAAATTGTGTACCGTTTTCTAGTTTGGACAGATTGACAAGTCCTTTCCAACTTCGCATGATCGGCCGATGTTCCAATACTAAAGTCCGAAGGCCGGCAATGGCCGACTGCTGAACCCTAACACCCTAACACAAAGCTTGTAAGTGGCACTGCAACGCTGTGACCCTTGATGCCAACTGTTTGATACGGCAGATCCGCAAGCGCATGTCGGTGTACTCGACGATGCTAGAACACATGTCGGACGAGCAGAAGATTACCGTCACCGCGAAGCTCGCCCAAGAGGTACTCTCTGCCGTCATCGACGGCGGCCTCCCATTAGCCAATAGCACCGGTTCCGCCACGTCTAATTCCGCCGCATTTGCGAACGGGAACAAGAACGGCGGGGGCGCGAAAGCGCGCAAGAAGGCGTCGTCGGTGGTGAAGGATGCCCTGACGATCATGGCATCCGCCGGGATCAGAGTGGGTGGGAGAGGGGGTGCGGCTGCGGCTACAGAAGCAGACGATGGCTCAGGTGAGGCAAGGAGAAGCAACTCATGATCAATTTGTGTTATTGTGGCGTTGATACAGAGCGCCTTTATGAAGCAACTACTGTACTGTGTTCTGACGTTGGTTTCCGGACAAGGGTGTGGAACATTCCAGTGCTATTAGAAGCGCTGTAGCACTGGTCTCTCTGTCGTGTTGTTTTTGGACAAACTTGTGGCAGACAAGACAGTCAACCAAGCAAAGCTATACGACTTACTTATATAGGAGATTCGTGTTTTTCGTTGAGTTTTTTCGACAGTTCGCATCGCCAAGTTATTCCCACTGTAACCCATACACTGTGTGCGTACGTGAAGCAGCAGGGCTGATGAAAATCACGCACACCAACGAACTCTAGGAGCACGCACACCAACTTCTCCTTCCTGTAGCAGGAGTACACAACAACAGTGCCTGTAATCTGCAACCGTCCCGACAACGCGACGCTGGTATTCACCACCTGATCCCCACACATGCTCCTGTCTCACGGTGCAATGCTTTGCTTTTTTTGCTCCTCCAAACCCCGTGGGCGTGGCAGAGGATATGGGGTCCCAGCAGTCGGGGGCCGGTGGATTGGCCGCGGCGAAGAGAACGCTGCTTTCCAAGGCAAGCGATGTGATGTAGGAGATGTTTCACGTTGCATGGGACAGGATGGATGGAACGAGCTGCATAGCCGCATGATTTTACGCAAGATAAACATGCCTCGGTGACAATAGTGGCTCCTGAAACACTGAGCTCCAGGTGTGGTATTGCGGGTGTGGGTGGTATCACTTGACCGAAGAGTGGGTTGTTAGGGTTGTGTGGACTCGAGAAAATGTCGCCACCTCCGTGGGTGCTATCCTATGCCGGTGAGAAGCCTTGTGTCGTCGTACCATACGGTGGTCTACCTTCGCGCTCACCTACGCCCCTGTGACCCGTCAACAAGTCTCCTTTGTTTCTCGATCTACGTATTGTGCCTGTGGTCATGATCCATACGGATACGATGTTGATGTTGAACCCGTCTCACAGGTTGCCCTGAAGCACCTCATGGAGAAAGTGGTGCCGATCCTGACGGCCCTCAAGCACGTCCTCGAGAGGTCACACTCGCCGCTCCTCCGAGAGATCATGTTCTACTTCGGCGAGCTCTTCAGGTAAGTAGTCGTGCCGTCAGCATATCATACAGCATATCATACAGATACCGTAAACGTCGGAGTTTTCCCTCCGGGGAGGGGATCGTTTTTTTTTTCTGAAACCAACCCCCCCGGCGGGAAATTGACGTACTGGGGGGGGGTAGTTTTTTTTTTTCCAAAGCTACCCCTGGGGGAAGCCCCCCCCCCCGGGGAGGTTGTGCAAAATAATGATGGTCCATACACCAGACACACAGAGAGTGGCGAAACTCAGATGGATAAGGTTAAAGGTTAACGAGGAAGCGTTCAACAACCATCGGGAGGAGGGACGTAAGAGCAACCAAGGCGAAGAGAAATAAACAGCAAGGAGGACAGCAGCTGGGGGAGTTTTATCTCGTCCCGCGAATGATTCCAAGAATATGAAGAGCCCGCCTTCCAGCGACAAACGGTACACCTAAATCTCGCTCGAAGCGCAGATCTACAAATGAATTTTCCGTACCATATCATGCTTTTTGCGCTCCGCGATGCAACAAAATCGACTCAGAAAATAAGGAAAATACATTCCCCCTGGGTGCCAACTCGTGGGAAAACAAGTACCCCCGGGGGAAATTGAAATACCCGGGGGGATTTTTTTTTGGGTCGAAAACGATCTACCCCGGGGCTAAATCAAAGAAACCATGCTTCCAGGCCGAAAAGGTGATGAGGGGTGGGGAAACTCTACTAGGGGGAGAAAACTCCGACGTTTACGGTACGCGTCGCCACCTCAAACGTGGTGTGTGTATGTAGTCCAAAAGGTGCGGATTCGATTTTCACGGATTTCTTGTAGAATTGTTTGAACTTTACCTACTGTACCCAAAGGCTGTGTTCATTCCCTGGTAGTTTTCCAGTTGCTCGAAGTAACGAGGGACGTAAAAATATGAGAGGTGGCGCAATCGGCATTCTGTACATGTTCATGGTCGTTTTTCACAATATCATCCACTTGAAGCCTTCATGTTCGTTCTGTCGTGGTTGTCCCTACTGTTGTGATGATTGCTGTCGTTGAACATGGATCCTGTTCCGAAATCGTCGGCAGTGGGTGTAGCGGGTGCTTGTGATGGCATCGTTTGCGGCCGCTGCGCTCGAGCCACAAGGACGGCGCTGAACATGTCCTCGAAACCATCTTTTGGTGTGTTGATCGCATCGGTTTGTGGCTTCAGATTCGGCATTCTAGACTGTATAGGCGCTCTCGCGCAGCAACAGCCGCAGTAAGGAGGTGCAGGGTGCTGTCACAAAGTGGTTGCACGTTCTGTTGCTTTAATGCACCTCTCCTGGCTCTCATCTTTTATTTTTTCCTGTTTCCCGTGGAATGTTATCACTTGCAGGAGCCACAAAGAGGAAGTTAAGGCTGTCCTGGCTTCTGAGCCGGGACTGGTTGACGAGATTGACTTCGATCTCCGGAGATTTGAGAAGGAGGAGTACGAGAGGAGGCAGAAGGCCAAGGTACAGTGATTTATGACTGCACCAACGATAACAACAGTACCAACATCAACATCAACCTAGAGCAGTGCCAAGCGATGGCAACAGCAATAGCAATAGCAACCACGTTCAGCGAGTATTTTCAGAACAGTATCAACGACAACAATACCAACAGTATCAGCTGCCAACAATCAACGACACCATGCAATGCCAGCAACAGCGCTGATATCGGTGGCATCATTGAAGCTAGAAGCAGGCTTGATTCAGTGAGGCTGGGGCGAAAAGCATATAGCAACCGGCCAGCCGTCTACTGCCCAATCGAGTCTCACCTCAAGGTACTCTTACCAAGGCTGCATACCCGTACCTGGTGCTCAACAACGCGATGATAATGTACATAGCGGGCGAAGGTCTTGTTGGTAGTATTGAAGGGAAGCCGGAGAGCGAAGTGCCGAATGTTATCTAACCCTCCTGAGAGGTGTGCGAATGTTCCAAACACACCAAGGAGATCTTATCGTCGAGAATCTCTCAAGACATTGTCAGTCTTGAAGTAGCGGCAGCATTCCATAGGCTTGAACCTCGAGTATCATGCACAAAACAGCAAGCCCCCGCCCGAACGGTGTCTCTTCAGGAGGCCGCTGCTATTGCAGCGGCGGCGGTGGCGGTTTCCGGTGCTGGCAGTGGCATGGGCCCTCCGAGAACTCCGAGCAACAGGAGGCGTTCTTCGATGGGAGGTGGTGGTGCCAGCGGGAGGCGGGCTTCATTTGCCGGGCAGAGCTTGAGGTATTCCACCGTCACCGTTTGCTGTGCCGTTGTTGTTGTTCGTCGATCCCTGCTCTGGCTATTGTTGCAGGCTCGGTTTGGGTGGTGCAAGTATCCTTAAGTCCAGTTTTTGGGAGCACCGTTCTGAGACCCCTTCTCAGGCTCGGTTCGGTTGTGCATGTATCCCAATGCTCAGTGTTTGGGGGCCCACTTTGGAGTATGCCTGTTTGTACTATACGGAGCAGCGGTTACCCCGCTTGCCTTCATGGTTCATGTCTCCGAGCTGTGAAACGGCACATGGAGCAGGGGCGTCAGAGAGGGAGCGCTATGCCCACCTGCACCAGGTAGTCGCACAAACACTCTAGGGACACCCACAGTTTGCCTGATGGAGGACGTCCCCTCTTCACGATAACTCCTACGGCCGCCTATACGGCGAAAACTCCCTACATCAACGCGGTTTGAGTACCCTCCGGTGGTCCTGTACAGCGCCATCCACAGACTAAAATCACCAAGCCATTCTGTACCTCGTAGCGCCGGTCCCTTTGAATAGCGCCGGTCGATTCGCCGGGTACACCCGGAAGTATAATTGAGGACCCCCCGCTGCTCTGCCACCCTTCTGTCTAAACTATATCCGCCGTCGCAGGGACGCGTGTACACCTATGGCGGCGGTCCAGAAGTCGGCCCGCAAGACTCCCTTCCAAAACCTGGGCGCTTGCTCAGCGGTTAAGCTCAAGGCCTCAACGCCGGGAGCTTCATCCATAATCAGCCCCGCACGGCCGGGAGGTGGGGGCCGGGGCAGTCGACCCAAGGTATGTGAGACTGAGATTGTTTGTCGGATATTGGTTCTCGTCGATGTTTTTGTTGTTGTTGTTGTTGTTGTTGTTGTTGTTGTTGTTGTTGTTGTTGTTGTTGTTGTTTTGGTGTTATTATCGTTGTTGTGCAACCGAAACATGATGGTACCTATTAGCGCACTATCCTGCCCTAGGTTTGGTCGCCCACTTTTTCTCTCAGTGGTGCTGTCGGATCGGTGTTGAGCTTGTTGAGCCCGCTGTTGTTTATCGCGATGGGGTAGAAAATGGCATCTGCAGAATCAAGGCGGCTTGGAGACCGTTCAAACTGCTCCTGCTTGGAGATCGTCGTTTTTTCGCTTCTCGGATGTACGTCAAATGTGCAACTATTTTGCCAAACTTCTGCCTAGAAAATTTCAGATGTATTTTTTGGGGTTGGCCTGCTGTTGCTTGTTCGATGCCTTTTAATGAAAGTTCATGAGGATTTGTACATGTCTCACGGGTTGCCGACGAAGGGTTCGTAGAACGAAGCGGCAATGGTGAACAGGAGGATAATTTATGTTATTGTCCCACTCCACGTGATACCTCCAAAAAGAGTGCAGCCCTACAAGCTGAGTCGTCTGTGTCTGTACGTGAACCCGCTGACGCGAGTGCTGCTCCCGCCGGTTGTTTCTCGATACAGTACCCCTCTTGTTGTTCTGTCTGGCCGTCATTCCGTTCCGTTTTATGACCCCCTTTTCCGTACGGTGCACCCTTCTCGATGGTGTATCTGGCGCTCATTCCGTTCCGTTTGATGAAGTCCTTTTCCGTACCGTGCGCCGTGTACATCTATCTGTCTATGTCGCGCTTGGCGTCCGCCTCCAGACACCTGCCCAGCTTCGCACTCCTCGCCAAGCCGTAGCTGCCGCCCTGGGCAACTCCCCAATGGACACGGACACGAGTCCCGTTCCCATCAGGAACATGCTCAGTGACCGGACGGTGAGCAACCTTTCTAATCATGTCAACACCCGCGTTGATGGGCTCGGGATGGCTCGCGGTGGTGTGTTGGAAGTAACAAATCGTGTCCATTCGGCTGCTTCGCTGCACTTACTCGTTATCTATTTGAGCGTGTACCTCCGCCTGCATCTCTGCCTTTCCGTCCGCTGCGACTTCCGCTCGATCTGTTCAGTCCGATGTCGCGTTCCATCTCCACCCCGTCAAAGTGGCTGTTTCCCGGATACGATCCATGTTTTCGCGCCGTCAAAAAACAGATTAGTCGTCACCACCAGAGACAGCTGAGAAGTAGGTAGGCTTAGCTGGCAGCAAACGAAAACAACAGCGAAGACTTGGCGTCGCTCCAGCATGCTTCTCGCTTGCGCTGTCCAGGTAGACACACGACTTCCCGAGAGAATATTGAGCTTCGAAACTATCCCGCGTGATCATGCCTCAACTTCTTCCTTTTTCGTCCCGTCGTACGCATACATGCGCATACATACCTCGGACGTGGTTACATATACCCACAGCCGAATGGCAAGTCTTCAGGTCCATCCAAAGGCAGGGGTGAGGGTGCGGGCGTGGCGGACATTGAGCTGGCCTCTCCCGTTAACCCGCACCCGGCCAAGAAGCGTCGGTGGGCGGTGTCGGTTCCACTACCCGCAGAGGGGGAAGATGGTGATTCTGGCGAGGAGGTGTGTTGTTGGTGGTTGCGTTTTGTTTTTTTTTCCCGTTACTACGTGTTGTTTGTCGGCATCGTCGTTCTCGTTATCGGTGTAATGGTAAAAGGAAGACGTTGAATCTGACCTCTCAACTCTAGTTTGCTGATATCGTGACCAGTCCAGGGAATTGGACAGAGACCACGACACATGGTACGGAAGTCTCAAGGATACGTAAGTAATGTCTATGCATGAACGAACATGGAATCGAATCATACATTGGTAACCCCTAACCTAAGGGAACCAACAAACGCAGGTCTGACACACTAAAGCAGCAGTGAACACAAGTACAGCATCTGGCAAGGCCGTTCGCGTTGACTGACTTAAAGCGTAGCTGTGGTTGTAGGAGAGGAGGCACAACTAGTGAAATAAAGCAACGGTGCTCGGGTACTGTACATAGCACCATGGCCTGGGCGGAACAACACCAGTATTGTTTGAATACTGCCGTTCTGTGTGCCCGATCTAGTGACAATGTTGACCGGCTCGATGTTGGCATCGGTGCGTCGCTCCCATCACAGGAGTTCGACGGCGGCGGCGTTTCCACCATGCGGGGGGGCACGGCATCTACCCGTCGGGACGAGGAAGAATCGGCCAATGAAACAGGTCCGGAGGAGGAGGTTGGGGAGAAGGAAAACAACCCCTTGTCCACCACCAAAACTCCTTCGTCTGATAGAAACGCTGGTGATTTGAAGAGGAGCGGCAAGGACAAGACTGCCACGAAGAGTGCGAAGGCTCCCATTGTCTCTACGGCAGCGTCTGGAGGGAAGGGTGGGGGGGGAAAGGCGTCCGTCTGTGGGATTGAACAAGGCGCCAGGAAGGCTAAGGCCGGTGCTAGGAATCGTGCCAAGCAGGAGGTGAGTGGTGGAGAGCTGTGTTTGGGGTAGCAGTAGCTGTTGGTGGATGAATGGGTGTTTACAGACTTGGCCATCCACGCTTGACTGTGAAGTGGTACTCCGATTTCTTGACCTTGAGCAATTGTTGAATTGCGGCTGCTGGTTTCACCCCTGCTGATCAAAATTGGCGTTTCAGGCCAAGGTCGCCCCTTCCAACATAGCATCCGCGGCAAAGCTGCGGCCGGTGCGACGGTCATCACGTGCTGCCCGAGGATGAAGCCCCACACGTTCGACATTTTCAAGATCGCGAGGACGCAGGATCGAAAAAGGGGCTGGCGCTCTTGTGACATCGGGTGCTTCCCAGCGGGAGGGATGCAGAGCATTAGTCGGTGTCGGTTGGGGGATGGAAAGTATCCGGTAGATGGGGCAGTCTCGGAAACGGCTGGTGCTTTCGGGGGTATCTGGACGGGGTTCGGAGATAGCCGAATTATCAGTAGCGATATGTGATGCGGGAGGGGGGGTGCCGCACGGTTAGGGAGTTGGCCCGAGGGTGTTTGTTTTACCTGTCTCGCGTTGATTCGAGGTTAATTGTTTTGGGGCTGGTTGCTTGCGTTGGTGACGAGGACAGGCTTGTTGCAAAGTTCTTCATTCTCCCTACAATGATTAATTGGAGCTCGTGTATATGTACAAGGGTGAGCCGCATTCTGCTTGTAACCGGTTGGGTTGCGTTGTTACAAGGGCCGCTGGCGTGGCACCAACGGCAACCCTGTTCTTGAGAGCGACAGAATGTTCGATGGACGTATTTGTATACGTTACCGACTGCGTTAAGATGGCAATGTCTGATTGGTGTTTCTAGCTGGAAGGAGCTCTCATGGATGTCGAAAGTGGCCATGCATAGCCCCCGCCGTAGTTTCATTTCTTTGCTGGCGTTAGTAGCAAGCACGTTGGCAAGTGAAGAAGATGTCGCGCTCATGGGAAAGCCGTACAAGCGAAGACTATTGCAAGATAATGCAGATTAGATGCGTGAAAACAAAAGCCACGGCCTACCTGGGTACGAGAAGATGAGCACTCAAGACCGGCACCGGATGAACCACGAGCCCTCACCTGCTGGCCGTGGAATTGTCCACTGCAGGCTTGGTTAGTGGAAGGGTCTCCAGATCGAAATTAATGGGTTTTCTACGGTATCCAGACACGAGCTGTTGAGCCAACGAAGGAGGGTCGACCGGCGGCCATGTATATGGATAGGGATTATTCAAAACAAAGGGATATGGAATGGTTGGTTCATGCAAGCCGTATTCAAATAAGGGCAGGTAGGTGCACTGCCGGCATGCTAGATGTAGAGGAAGCAGAGGTTGCGGCACAGGTAAGAACTATCTTCATCTGTGGCAAAACAGTAAATATTATATCAATTTGTCCCTCTCGGAAAGTGGAGGGTAAATCAATGCGCGTGTGGGCCTGGCCGATGCGTTGCTCCGGGGTGGTATGAATAGGAAGTCAAGTAAGGGTATCGATTTCAATCCTCTTCTTGTAGTTGCGAGGGTTGACAAAAGGCAAAGGCAAGTCATCAGGGGAACCAAGCGGTTGTAGCATCAGAGGGCTATTGCCAACCGGACTGAAGGCTAGCGTCTGGAGAATTTCCTTTCGTGGAAAGGCGAGGTAGGGTCGTGTTGGCCAAGGCGGTCGGGGGGCATTGACGTTGCATGGACTTTATCAATGGCGGGAAGGCCGCGGTTGCTGTGCGAAACGTCGACATGTCAATATCCTTGGGTCTGGCCAACGCAAGAACCATAATTTCCTTGTAATCCCACAACACTTCTCCGGCTTTCCGGGGCGTACATACATGTTGCCTGCTTCTAATGACGTGAGGGGCATTCTTCGAGGAAGAAAAATACGACTTTCTCGAATAAGCAAACAAATGCCGAACAAATGACAGTTCACCAATTGTTTGGCAGGTTTCGGACTTCTCGCTCTGGTGCAGAACACCGTGTCGTTGCACGATTGGGCAAGCGTGCCGAATGGACTACATTCGGCCGTGTCCGACCATCACGGGAAAAGAAAAAAATGGCGCCTGTAACGGCATCGAGGCCCATGTAATATAGTTGCAGACCAACCTCGCACGCTCTGTATGTTATGGGGCGCTCAACAAAGGTCTTTCGGTGTATAAGTAGCGTGCCGGGAAGTGTTGAGACTTCTTTGATTGCAGGGAGAGCGAATGAGATACCTGGAGGGATTACTCACAAGAATCACGTACACTAACATGGAAAAAATGTTGTTGGCACCCTCGGCGATTTCTGCCAACCAGATTTTTCCCACGCACGGCGATCGGGCAGAAAAGAGCTCAAGCTGCTTGCTCATGGACAAAAACAAGGAACAATAGCGCTTCTTTCAGGAACCCCGGACGAATGCTTCTACTTCAAGCTTCTGAACAGACCAGCTCAATGGCACTCATGTAGAGTGAAGCCGTGCATTGGCAAACTGACGACACCACTGCGTCCAGAGAACGCTATACTGTCCAGGCTGTCGCTCGCCTGAGCATTCGAAACACCGGCCCGCTCAACGGCAGCATGCCATTGTATACGGCATTTTGCAACGAACACGTTGCCTTACGATTCCGACACTTGTCCTTGTTGAAGCTCTCCACAATACGCGAGTGGATTAACATAGAGGAATACCTAGCGTAACACAAATCACGACAACGACGAAAAGCACAACAACCCGCCTCGCCCTCAATGTTTTTCACATGTTGGGGTCAGCCTAGCTTCAAGCCCACCCGTCACGGCCAGGCACCACGAGGTAACACACAATGGTTGTAGAGTTTAATGGCTTATCGAGTATCAAGTTGGGGTCACTGCTGACACATTCACCAACATGACATGCTCGGTGACATGCTTGAAAACAGAAACGCGACTTCAACCCCGACGTGTTTTCTCCGTTGGACCAAGCAACCGCAAGAAATGACAAAAAAAAAACAGTTCATCAGAGGTACGCGGAGCAACACGGGCGGTGGTCTATGTCGTGCGCAAAAACACACATCTTACTAGTGATCACCTGTCCTTCCTCCACGTCTGATTGTTGAACGATGAGGTATAAGTGTTAGAGCTGTGTTCGCTTCCCTTGGTGGCACGTCTACCCTGAGTTAACCCTTTGGTGCCCACCACACATTGTTGTCCATCGTCGGTTATTCACAACGTCTCGAAGGGTCGGTGCCAGGAAGCTGGTCGATCCAGCACGATGTCTACCCGATGAACCTTTCCACCATGTTTGCACTGTTGCCCCCCACGCAATAGATGCCTCTTTCGAGCGTGTCGTCGCACGGAGCGAGGAAGTCGTGCAGTGGAGGGCATCGCCAACTCGACGTGAATGGGTATCACTTAGTCCTTCGCTGGCAGCGACGGGCTTGCCTTGCATTATACAACACAACTGAAACAAATCATCATGTATCCGTCTGCCCGCCCATGCCTTTCCCGTACAGCCGGGTACGTGGCTCGACAGATGTCACAGTAGACTACGTCCAGCACGAGTCACACTTTGTACGGAGGCCGGCCACGCGACTGCGACGATGGGTTGGTTGAAAAAATATCCAAACTACAGCTGCTGCAGGGAGGTCGGCCAAACGACTCCGAGGATGGGTTGGTTGAAATAACGCCCAAACGATAGCTGCTGCAGGCCGGCCGGCCACACGGCTCCAACAATGGGTTTGCTGAAAACTCCCCCAAACGATAGCCGCTGCAGGGAGACAGGCCACACCGCTCCGACGTTGGGCTGGTCGAATTCATCCCCAAGCGATAGCCGCCGCAGGCCGGGCGGCCACACGGCTCCAACAATGGGTTGGTTGAAAAATCCCCCAAACTATATCTGCTGCAGGGGGACAGGCCACACGGCTGCGACGACGGGCTGATTGAAGTACTGACCAAACGATAGTCGCTGGAGGGAGACAGGCCACACAGCTCCGAAAATGGACTGGTTGAATTTGGAACCAAACAAAAGCTGCTGTAGGCCGGCCGGCCACACGGCTCCAACGATGGGCTGGTTGAATTTGGAACCAAACGATAGCCGCAGCAGGGAGACCGGCCACACCGCTCCGACGATGGGCTGGTTGGACCCCCCCCAAGCGATAGCTGCTTCAGGGCGACCGACCACACGACCTCGGCGATCGGCTGGTTTAAGTCGTCCTCGAACGATAGCTGCTGCAGGGAGACTGGCCACATGACTTGGGCAATGGGCTGGTTGAAGAAAACTCAAAATGATTGCTGCTGCAGGGCGACCGGCCACAAGACCTCGGCGACGGGCTGGTTAAAGTCGGCCCCGAACGATAGCTGCTGCAGGGAGACGGGCCACGACGCCGTGTTCACGCGCATATTCGAAGCAAATATCAAGGATTTGAGGCTTTGAGGCCAGACCCAGACCACCGATTCTAGACTTGCTGAATATGACGGTGGCGTTGCCGCTGATATTTGGATCCTGACCGCAGCTCGAGCGCAGAACTCGGCCGCAGAACCTCCATCGGAAGTGCCCACGTTCAACCAAACTAAGGGGCGTTCGCCGATCGATACGCACGTGCAAGGTAGGGAGGGACACTTCTGCACGCCCCGCAAAACGCCATTGACACAAGCTGTAGCTCCAGCGTGGACGCATACCAACGCCTATCCTGTCCATCGCAAGCCTGGTTCAATGCAACGAGGAAGGCGTCCAGACACTCGCTCCTTCCTGAGGTAGTGAATGGCAGATGTACAGACATGTAGGATGCACACACGTGTGTTGAGGGTTCTTGAGACAGTTGTTTTGCCGCGCGACTGGTGGTGCAAGTTGGAGTCAGGGTAGAAGGAAGAAGAGACTATCCTTGCCGATGCCAACAATATCTGCTGGTAAAGTCCATGATCAAACAACCTTGTGATCGAGCACCTGTTATCGTCTGTTCACCCTTCGTTCAAACTGTTGGGGCGGGCAAACGTACCACTTAGTAGGTAGGAAGACCCAAGAAAAACAAGTTATCGGGATTCTGCAAGACGAGTGAAGAATCAGCCGCGTGAAGAATCAGTCGCGTGAAGAATCAGTCATCTGGGTTCTTTGATTACAGCATAAATGACGCGAGCATTTTGCATGCAAGTGGCCTTGTGCACATAAGTAGGGCTACCAAAATTGAAACCGCACCCTTGAAACATGAAAGACTTGAGCATTTCAGCCTCTTCCCTTTCCCGATGATCCTGGTTCAGCTCCGTCACTCAGTTCGTGTCTGCGTCGGAAAGAATGACCCGTGAGTGAAATACTTAAGAGTTGCTGATCCCAGCTTGTGTTCTAAGCGTGCTTCCTCCAGGCATACACCGACAAAGAATCGCTCTGTACAGAGTCAGTCGTCTCTGTGGGATTGGCGTTCATTTCTCGGGGCAAATATCACGATCCAGCAGCAGAAATTCTGCCTCTGGGGCGGGGCAGCCATGTGCCTCGCTTTGATTTCAACACCGGCCACACCAAAAGGGTGCGTTTCGCATCACCTCCAGTGGGCGTGGGCAGCGGAGCCCTGCCAACGACAGCAGTAGAAGACCCTGGACATTGTTGTGTGTCTTGGTTGGCAGCCTCTGTCTGTCTTCCTGACAACTCTGCGAGGACTGCGTTACATTGCAACGCGCCCGAACCTTGGCTGAGAGTCGGTCCAAAACCACTAGCGTGCACATCTCCTACGTCGGTGCGAAGAAGGCGACTCTTTATTTCTAGCGGTACGAAGTGCAACACACCAAGGCTGTAAACCATTGGTTGCCCATGTGCTTCGCTCCGGGTTAGTCGAAGGCTTACTACCAACGGGCACAAACATGACAACACCTCCGCGTCCGAAGCTGATGCAAACCGCGAACCTTAATCGCTATTTTACACCTGGCGAATAGTTCAGACTGTTAGGCCGCGGTCGGTGATGGGATCATCGAGCCCCTCACACGAAAACCTGACACACATAGCGAAACCATCGACATGGTACACTAATGTAGGAAAGAGGTTCACGTGACAAACTGATGGTGCGCAGTAGTGTTTTTCGGTTCAGAGAAGAGACCTCCTCGCAGCTCAACGCCTAGCCCCGCCAAGCCCATGCCCCATTTTTCTGTCGCGCCCTCCACGCTTTTCCATTAAGACAGAATGGTCACACTAGACACTCGGTGTGATGTGACCGTCCGACATGTCAGCCCCACCATTGTTTGAGCTGCTGGAACCATAATGAAGAGGACGGGGGTCGACTACGGGAGTCGATTTCGTGCCACCAAACGAAACAACGGAATGATTAAACAAGACAGGGGTAAAACTGTTCGTGTGATTGCGTATGTAGTCGGATCTATCTGCAGACGAGAGGACTCGTTCAGGTTCCCTACAAATATTGGTAGCGTTGGGTAGTACGACTAGAGGATGATTGTTCGGAGCCCACACGTCAGCTGCCCTGCACGTGGGTACTCCTGGTCCTTCCCCTAACCCGGATAATCTAACAAGCGTTGAAACATCAAGCATCAAGGCTGCATGACAGTAACCACGGGCTAGCGTGCTTAGGGTACTGTGTGTAGAGTTTTTCCTTCGAAGGAGCCCCCCCTGAAGGTATGCTTAAGAGCAAGAGCGGGGGCACTGCTGTGAGCAGCGACCCGCGAGTCACAGAGTTGGCGACGAAGCTGGTGGAGTAGAGCAAGATTGTGTCGGCGATCGTGGAGCAGCTAGGGCGACTACAGACGCCACCGGCTATGGCGGCGGGGGAAGATGAAGACGGGGAGGCAAGCGACGCTGGCAACGTCGTGGGGGGCAGTGCAGCAGCCGCTTCGGGTACACGGTCTCCCGGGCAACCCATCTGATGGCCCCCCGCTACGGAGCAAAGTGTAAGGAGTGTTGATGCAGGAGATGATGGACAAGATGTCATCGCTGCTGCAGGCAGAGCCAGAGTGCGGGAACCGAGGGGAGTCAGGCGGTGCTGAAAGAGGCGCCGCACCAGGCGGTGGGATTATCGAAATCTCGCGCCAGGCAGCTAGCTGCCTATCCCAGCTGCACGCTACGGTGGGCGTTGGAAGATATGACGCCGCTGGAGGAGGGAGCAGGCAGGGAAGGTGAAGCAGTGCGGGCGTTTGACGTCCCTGCAAATGGTGGACTTGGTGGATTCCAGAACATTCTTTCTCTGTGCGGTTGGCAGCTCTACAGTAGAGGCGCTGCTGGGGGTGGCTTGACTGCCCCGGGCACACGGGACGAGGTTTCAGTAGGCGGAGCCTGGAGGGTTATTATCCGGGGCCACGGACATGAGCGACCTGTTGGGACAGGCCCAACGGTATGGCAACAGAGGGGCGGCGGCGTCAGCAGAGTAGCGGGGGGCACAACACACGAGCCTGTCGATCGCGGAAAACGCACTCGCTTCGAGAGAGCTGGAGAGTTGCATTCATGGCGATTCTGGTGAAGGTGGAATTGCCGCGGAGGAGCAAGGACGAGACCGCGCAAAACTGCTGTGCTTTGGAACGAGTGCAAATCACAGCGCGGCGTTGCCGCGGGGGCTCGTTTCTGGTTATGATTCGTGAGTGATATGGATTTTTGCTTTTGACGCATGATACCCAAAGTTTTCTACAGGGGACTCATGGTGAAGTCGTTTCAATTTTCGGGTTTGGTGTTCGTAGAGTGATGCTAGCTTCGCTTACGATGATACCACCGATGGTATTTTCGAAAAGGATTCAGGATTCATGCGTTTGCATTCTTTCACTTTTCTTGAGCGATGGTAGTTTGTCTTCGTTCGATGGCAAACCCAGGCGTGTAATGGCCGGTGTTTCGTGCAACGATCGTAGCTCGGCTCCAAAACCAGCCACTCTGTCATGGGGATTCGCGATACAAGCGCTTGAATTTCATGGTATCCGCGGGCGATGAAAAGTTTGTCTGAGGCAGAAAATGGGGTACGCGGGACCAGGCGTATCAAAGGAGGGGGGTGCAGCACGAGGCGCTCCCCACAGTCGATGGAAATTCACGAACAGAGGTTGAATCAGCGTCTATTATTTAGCGCTGAAACGAAGGGTGCACAGGACTAGGTGTATCAAAGCCGATGAACCTCACGCCCAGGGGTAAAAACGTATCCAGCGTGTCGGCCGAAAAACGGGCACACAGGACCCGGTGTATCAAAGTTGCAGACACCAGCGCTGTTGCTGTCCTCATCACTCTGTTTGGAAGACTCGAATCTTGTGTCAGC